TCCGTCACACTAAAGCATGCTGGGAAAGGGAAGGCGCCCGTCCGTTCGGCAAGCCCCAGATAGCAATTACAGGAACCTCCGCCCGAGCAGAACAGGGTGGAGGAGTCAGTCGACTTGACCGAGGAGCCCCTTCTGGATGTGCAGATCGATCAGTCCAGGCCAGAACGAACTACCAGAGTAGGTATAAGACTGACCAGAGAAGAGCAACAAGAGCTAGTGGATTTCTTGTCCCACAATGCCGACGTATTTGCATGGAGTCACCTAGACATGCCTGGAATTAGTCCCTCCGTATCCTGTCATTCCCTGAATGTCAATCCCAATTTCAAACCAGTGAAACAGAAGCAGCGAAGATTTGCTCCAGAACGTAATCAAATCATAGCGGAAGAAGTCGATAGGCTGCTTGATGCGGGATTTATCAGAGAAGTGCACTACCCTGATTGGTTGTCCAACGTCGTTGTCGTGCAGAAGAAGAATGGGAAATGGCGAGTATGCATTGATTTCACCAATTTGAACAAAGCCTGTCCGAAGGACAGCTTCCCGCTGCCTAAGATTGATCAAATGGTGGATGCCACCACCGGGTATGAGCGTTTAACCTTTCTGGACGCTTATTCAGGTTATAATCAGATCCCTATGGACCCCGCAGATGAAGAAAAAACTTCTTTTGTCACCGAGCGAGGAACATACTGCTACAAAGTTATGCCTTTCGGACTAAAGAATGCAGGAGCAACTTATCAAAGACTTGTTAGCAAAATTTTTAAGAATCAAATGGGAAAGATTGTGGAAGCCTATATTGATGATATGGTGGTAAAGAGTAGGAAGAAGGATGATCATCTGAAGCATCTGCAAGATGTATTTGATGTACTGAAGCGATATGGGATGAGGCTCAATCCAACCAAGTGCTCGTTCGGTGTGAGTTCCGGACAGTTTCTGGGACACGTGGTCAACCGCAGAGGCATCGAAGTTAGCCCCGCTCAAGCAGAGGCTTTGATTAAGAATGCCGAGCCAAAGACGATCAGAGAGGTGCAAGCCCTCACAGGACGAATAGCTGCATTAAGTCGATTTATTTCAAAATTGTCAGATCACTGCAAACCGTTCTTTGACACGATTCGGAGCCATGGAAGGCAGGTCTGGGGGGATGAGCAACGACAAGCATTGACTCATTTGAAGGAATATATGCAGAATCCACCAGTCCTGTTAGCCCCAGATCCGGAAGAAAAGTTATTTCTATATCTTGGAGTATCTGGTGTCGCGACGAGTGCCGTTCTGATTCGTTGCAGGGAAGGGGTGCAATACCCGGTATTTTATGTAAGCAAAACACTGACAGAGGCAGAAAAAAGATACTCAAAGGCCGAACGGGTGGTACTTGCACTTGTAAATGCAAAAAGAAAGTTGAGGCATTATTTCGAATCCCACCCCATAGCTGTTCTAACAGCTTTTCCAATCAGAACGCTTATGCACAAGCCAGAGCTCTCGGGCAGAATGACAAAGTGGGCCATAGAGTTGAGTTCATTTGACATAACGTATGAGCCGAGAACAGCTGTTAAAGGGCAAGCGGTGGCCGATTTCCTGCTAGAATGTGATGCCGAGGATACGGAAGAAGACCTTAGATGCGGCTCTTGGAAACTTTTTGTGGATGGCTCCTCTAACCAGATGGGGGCTGGAATTGGGGTCAAACTGCAAACCCCAGAGGGTACTTCCTTGAGCCAAGCACTCAGACTTGAGTTCCGAGCCACCAATAATGAAGCGGAATACGAGGCGTTGCTAAATGGATTGAAGTTGGCCAGAGAGCTACAGATCAAAAGTTTGACTGTGTATAGTGACTCGCAGCTGATTGTTCGGCAGGTAAATGGTGAGTACGCGACCAAGGACGACACGATGGGGGCATATCGTTCTGCCGTTCTGCATAAAGCCAAGGACTTTGCAAAGATTGAATTCATACAGTTGCCGAGGGAACAGAATGCAGATGCGGACCGGTTAGCATGTAGTGCTTCGAGTTGCGGTGAAACATTGGCGAGGGTGATCCCAGTAGGAATACTGACCCAGCCATCTATTTTTGAAGAACCCTTGGACTCTGACCCTTGGCAAGTCAACGTCATACCGTATGAACCGAGTTGGATTGACCCCATCATATTCGAGATGGCGTTTTGCCTATGCAGAGGGATGAAGCTAGGAGACTCAAAAAGAATGCTACAAAGTACGCCATCGTGCGTAACCAGCTGTACAGAAGGTCCTACTCTGGCCCATACTTGAAGTGTGTCACCCCCGCGGAGTTGCAGCAGGTATTGCGAGCTATTCATGAGGGTGTGTGTGGCAATCATTCTGGGGGGCGATCGTTAGCGCATAAAGCAATGACACAAGGGTATTTCTGGCCAAACATGTCAAGAGATGCGGAGGAGTTCTCTCGAAGGTGCGATAAATGCCAACGATATGGACCATTGATCCACCAACCACCTGAGGAATTGCACGTAATGGCCTCGCCATGGCCTTTCGCGCAATGGGGGATGGATGTGGTCGGTCCTCTGCCAACTGCAAGAGCTCAGAACAAGTATGTGTTACTGGCCACGGATTACTTCACTAAATAGGTGGAAGCAAAACCATATCCTAGCGTGACTCAGACTCATGTGAGACGATTTATTTGGAACAATATTATCTGCCGTTTCGGCGTTCCCAGATCAATAGTCATGGACAATGGCACAAACCTCGACAGCAGGCAAGTAAGAAAGCTGCTGGAGGAGTACGGAATCAACCAGAAGTTGGCTGCAGTAAGTCATCCTCAGGCCAACGGACAAGCAGAAATCACAAACAGAACCATTTTCGCCTGCATTAAGAAGAAGCTGGAAGATCATAAAGGGAAGTGGTTGGATGAACTCCCGAACGTTCTATGGGCTTACAGAACCACCCCAAGGCGGCCGACTGGGGAGAGCCCGTTTGCAATGGCATATGGTACCGAGGCAGTTATACCGGTTGAGCATTTGGTCCCCACTATCAGAAGCTTAGCATGGAGTCGAGATCAGAACGACAAGATGTTAAGATTGAACCTCGATATGATAGACGAAAGGAGGGACACAGCGGCTATAAGGTTAGCATCGTATCAGCAAGTGTTGGCGAATAGTCACAACAAAAGAGTAAAACACAGGGATTTTGCCCCTGGCGATCTGATTCTGAAAAGAAAGGTGGGGATGGTCAAAAAAATGATGCCACCCTGGGAAGGCCCATACAGAATAGCAGAAGTCATAGGCAAGGGGGCATATACGTTGGAAACCATGGCGGGAAGGTTGGTCAGCAAACCCTGGAACGCCACGTCTCTGAAGAGGTACTACCAATAAAAGCTAAGTTTCGGCTTTAATTGGATGTTGTTTGTTGTCAATCAAATATGTATGAATGTGCAAGTTACTGAAATTTACAAAAAAAATAACTTTCTTTTCCAACGGCCTACTAAAGAATGAAAAGCCAAGTGGCAAGTGGCATTCTAGCCGAGCGCCAGGCACTTAAGCAAGATAAGTGGCAGCTGGCACTATAAGCCGAACGCCAGACACTTGCTAAAAATTTAAAGCCAAGTGGCAAGTGGCATTCTAGCCGAGCGCCAGGTACTTGAGCAAGATAAGTGGCAGCTGGCACCATAAGCCGAACGCCAGACACTTGCTAAAAATTTTTAAGCCAAGTGGCAAGTGGCATTCTAGCCGAGCGCCAGGCACTTAAGCAAGATAAGTGGCAGCTGGCACCATAAGCCGAACGCCAGACACTTGCTAAAAATTTTTAAGCCAAGTGGCAAGTGGCATTCTAGCCGAGCGCCAGGCACTTAAGCAAGATAAGTGGCAGCTGGCACCATAAGCCGAACGCCAGACACTTGCTAAAAATTTTTAAGCCAAGTGGCAAGTGGCATTCTAGCCGAGCGCCAGGCACTTGAGCAAGATAAATGGCAGCTGGCACCATAAGCCGAACGCCAGACACTTGCTAAAAATTTTTAAGCTAAGTGGCAAGTGGCATTCTAGCCGAGCGCCAGGCACTTGAGCAAGATAAGTGGCAGCTGGCACCATAAGCCGAACGCCAGACACTTGCTAAAAATTTAAAGCCAAGTGGCAAGTGGCATTCTAGCCGAGCGCCAGGCACTTGCCATAAACAAACACACGGCAAAGCTAATATAAAAGAAAAGAGAGAAAAGATATATATGTATTGAAAATAGGTTGAACAGAGCACAACACAAAGGGAAAAAGAGTTCTGTCATTTCATTGATATTAAGCATTGAGTTTACAAAAAGTGAGATGTCCATCGTTACAAAAAGATATGGAATGGAAGAGTCCAAAGGAGCCCTAGCTAGATGCCTCAGTACCAACAGCATCCTGGTTGTGCCGACCCGCCTCCTCGGCCCCATCAGCCGTCTCACCTTCACGAGGTGGGGAATCAAGATGAATGACTGAATCGCTCGGCTGGGGCTCAGCGTCAGCAGTGGCTATGGAAGGTACCACAGTTGACGATTGAGGAGCGGTCAGAGGCAGAGCGGTAGGAGGAGCTGTGATGATCCTTGAGGAAGCAATGTCCTGGCACTCATCGAATATGCGCTCCGCTTCGGTGGGTTCTGGGTCGACATAGACCCCCAGAGGTTCGATCCCTAGATCCTTGTCGACCTCATTTGGAGTGGAACTGGTCTGTCCCTCATCCGGAACTCGGTCGGCGAAACCTTCCCGGAATCCTTGAGCATATCTAAGAGCACCGACCCTTGAGAACCGAGCGTGAAGAGCCAGCATCCCACCGCTCACTCTGCTGATCGCATCGATCAGAGCGGTACGCTCGTCCAGAGCTCTTTTCTCAAAAGCCATCCGAGCAGACTGTTCATCAGCCAGAAGGCGCTGGAGTTCTGCCTTTTCCTCTCTGATTGAGTCACGCTCAGTCTGCCAGACGCTCTTTTCAAGCTGGAGGGCATCCTTCTCATCCTGAAGAGAGTCATTCTCCTTCTTCAGGACATCTCTCTCCTGTTCGGTTTTTTCAAGCCGAGCCAGTACCTCGGTATTCTTCATGGCGAGAAGGTCGTTTTCTTTATTAGCCACCTCCAGGCTATCAGAAAACTTACGAGCCCTGGCGTTCCCCATCTCCACCTGCTTCTGCATAGCCATCATTCCGAACAATGTCTGCATAGGTGTACATTAAGAACAGTTAAGCCAATAGTCAGGTCGGGCGAAGGCAAGACCAAATAATATGAGAGAATTCATGAGTTGGAAAATAAAAGTCACCTCCATAGCAGATTGGGGAAAGCGGCTGAACACATCCTTCTGGGATAGGCCCTTTGCCGCCTCAAGGTCTTTCGGAGTCCACATGCTCCTATAGTACGCCATGGCGGTCTGGCCATCCTTCAGCATGGTCTCGTTCGGTTTCACGAACGTCCCATCCGTTCGGGTGTACCGAGGGGCCCATAGCGGTAAGGTGGGGATAGAAGGGGGGGCTGAAGTAGAAGCGGAGCCACCAGCTGCAGTAGGCCCAGAGGGAGCAGGAGCTCTGATCGCACGGTGCAAGAGAGCACCCGGCCCGGAGACCCGGGTCCTTCTTATGAGAGGCTCCTCCTCTGGATCGACTTCACTGTCAGGATGAGGCCTTTTGCCTCGTTCTTTGTCCCGAACGCCCCCCGCAGCAGCAGGGGCTGTGGTAGTTTGGGGGGACGCGCTCTGGTTGGCAGCAGGGGTGCTGACAACAGAGTTAATAGCCACTGTGCTCGGGATAGTGTCAGAGATGGTGGCTGAGGAAGAGGCTGATGCTGGAGAGGAGGTCGTCCCAGCAGCAGAAGTGGCTGGGGGAGTATTTTTCTTCCTGCCAAAAGAAGGAATCTGAAGCCTGCTCATGTTGTAGCCGAGTGATGAGAGCGCTAAGAGGTTGTCTGAAGTGAGGAGATCTGAGCAGGAAGGAATATCGTTCAGAACGTATTTCTTCAAGTAATTACTCCTATCCCTGCAAACACTGTAGCTCAAGTCATCACAAGGTATTCCTAAGGAACGGCATAAGAAAGTACAAAAACGGGGAACGCATGTTTCGCAGGGGCAATCATGTTCTTGAGATTTGAATTTCTTATAGGAGGAGACAGAACAGACACCAAAGGCGCTCGGGATTGGGTAACCCTCTGCAGCCGGCGAAGACCAAGCCCCACTAATGCCCACGATGCTATCCCTCCAACCCTTTTCAGATTTTATTGTGTCCGTACATATGGACATCTTCTCGAACGGGTAGAGGTGGTAGAAGGGTTCGTTAGTACGGATCTTACTGACCTTATAGCACAGAAGAAGGTCTATGAGGTCAAGGTCCAGATTTCTGTCACGCATCAACAGGAGCATAACGGATATGATTCTAAAGAAGTTGGGGTTAACCTGCAGGGGGGATATCCCCAATCTATTGAAGACATAACTAAAGAAAGGGTGCAGAGGGAACCTAACAACATTCAATTGAAGGTTCGTGAATAAGACTTCGCCGGGCAGGAGGCCGGCACCTGTCGTAATGTTAACGTCCTGAGGGCAAACCCTAACTTCGATGTTGTCAGGAAGTCTAAGTCTCATACGAAGAACATCCAGATCTACAACCATGGTGGAAGTGCTTGAAGGATCTAAAAGGGGGTAAATAGAAGCCTGCCGAAAGTAAAAAGGAACAAAACTAACCTCAGAGGACTGCAAGATCGCTGGAAGAATGACTCTTAAAGGATTTCACCAGAGAAAGCTTAGCACTGTTCTAGAAAGAGAGAGATTTGACTGATGATGGAGACGGTAAAAGGACGTGAAGTGGTATTCTAGAGCCTTATAAAGGCGAGGGGGGCCCGAGGGCCGAAGCGTCGGGAAGGCGAGAAATCCCTCGAGCCCCGGAACATTGATTCTGGATCTGACCGTCCGTTCCCCCACGTGGTTTTCTCGAGCCGTCAACGTCATGATGAGACGCCATCAATAATTACCCCCTTATTAAATAAGGGGCAATTATGGGGGCAGTTGAGGAGGCCCAGGACGACATGGGCCGGATCTGGCTTGCGAGCACGACATCCGGTCCGTACAGCTGGGTCGGCCCATAAAAAGACGCTGCCATATGGGCCGAACGCGAATAAGCCCATCAAAGGTGACCAGGACTCATGGAGGAACAGGCCCAGATCCAGCAATCCGTCAATATTCGTAAATATCTTGTAAATATCTTGTAAATATCTATAAATAAGGGAAGGAATGGAAAGAAGAGGAGGATCTTTTGGTTGAAGTGTAAGAATTCTAGAGAGAGAAAGAGGGAATGAATTTCTTGCATCTTCACAATTGATGCACAACAAAAGATTAACGCGATGATTATCCAAAATTTTCAAGGCATTTATTAGGAAATTTTCAAGGCATTTATTAGGATTTTGGTTATGGAGGATGGACATATATTGCCTTTTTTATTTTTTATTTTTTATTTATTTATTGATAAGTAGGATGGACATATATTACTACAAACTTTCTTGGCTTCAATGTCCATATCCGAAATAGAGAGACTGCCCATTCATGTGTTGATTTTACAGTGTACATAACTTTATTTCTTAACATGTAGAAACTTTCGGTCCTAACAATATTAAGGAGCCAGCCTAATGGCAGTCCAAGACATGAACTATTGTGCAACAGATTTGCTCAATCACGAAGCCCAAGAATTTATAAAAATGTAGACCACGTATGTAGTAGAAGAATATACATAAATTAAAAAAAATTAAAGAAAAAAAAAAATTAAAGAACTTATCTTTTTAAACGTGCAGTTATATTATTACAATAATTACATCTACTAATTTTAAATAAATGGATAATTCAACATATTTTATTATTATTATATGTGCAACTTTTTTTTATAAGGACCAATATTATCTTTTCTGCAAAAATACACACACAGAGAGACACGTGTGAACAATATAGTGTCATTTTTTATAATTTCTTTTTCTGTTTATAGTAAAAAAAAAATAATAATAATAAATCCGTAGGGACAGTTCTTAAAATATGTATCATTGATATTTTTCGTTTCACCCTCTTAGGTCTTAGTTCTTTGGGCAGTAAAATTTTATTTCGTAATAGCATAGAATTCATGCTAGTAATTCATTAGCATTTTTCAGTTACTATGAAACCATTTGGATAAAAACAAGCTTTTTTTTTTTTTTTTTTTAGGGAGATTCAAGCAATTTTATATATGGAGTAATATTTGCAGTTGGGCTATAATGGGTCAAAACCTAGCCGAACAGAGGCACTTGGCCCAGTAGCATTAAGTAACCTGCAAATTTTGCCATGTATTTGGTGAGATGGTGTCAGCCCCACCAAGTGCGAACCAAAGTATAAGAAATTTTATGGTCTTGATACATTTATCTCTGAATACTTGATTAAGTACATAATTAAAAATTTATTCTTATTTTGAATGTCACTTAAACACCAATATAGAACGTCTCCTTATTATCAGGCTTATATCATTATGATGTTTGAACTTTCTATTTCTATGTTTGGTGAAGTTATGTTACTTGAACTAAAACCATCAAAACATGATTTCTTTGTAAGTACTTTTTTTTAATCTAAGAAAAAGAAAAAAAAAATTTATGGTCTTGATACATCTATCTTTGAATATTTAATTTGCCGTGATCTTTTTAATTAAGTACATAGTTAAAAATTTATTCTTATTTTGAATGTCACTTAAACAACAATATAGAACGTCTCCTTATTATCAGGCTTATATCATTATGATGTTTGAACTTTCTATTTCTATGTTTGGTGAAGTTATGTTACTTGAAGAATTCTTTTAATAAACTAAAACCATCAAAACATGATTTCTTTGTGAGTACTTTTTTTTAATCTAAGAAAAAGAAAAAAGAATTATTTATAAAAATCTAGACCACATTTATGGTAGATATACATATACACACATATATGGTAGATATAACAAATATACACACACATATATATATATGACAAATATATAAGTTGGTCAATCACAAAATAGATTTTTCAGTAAATCTTAAAAGAAAGACAATTCTTTTCACTTCATTGTCGGACTATTATTTTTTAATGATTTAATAGGGGTCCTTGTTTCATACCGTCATACAAATTCAATGGAGGGAGATATACATATGCACACATATATGGTAGATATAACAAATACACACACACACATATATACAGTGGCGGAGCTAGTGTGTGCCCAAAGGGGGCACATGCCCCTCCTGACCTAGCCCCGCCTACTATAAAATATAGTAATTTTTATTTTAATTTGTATATTTATAAGGAAATTTCTATATAATGCCCACCCTAAAATTATCTTTTAAATCTTTCTTTCCTTTTTCTTTTGCTCTTAATATTCCTTTGATTTCCTTAAAAAAAGTTAAATTTTCCTTTTGTACTCAAACTCTCTATATATTTTTTTTTCCTTTCAAATTTCTCATTTTTCTTCCCTTTTTCTTCTTCTTCTTCTTAATTTTTTTTTGGCCCCCTACTTCTTAAACATTTTTCTTTTTGCACTTAAGAATGATATATATAGTATGTATTTTTTTTTTCTTCTTATTTAAATTATATATATATATTTACACTACGCCCCCTCTGAATTAAAATCCTGGCTCCGCCCCTGCATATATATATATGACAAATATATAAGTTGGTCAATCACAAAATAGATTTTTCAATAAAAATCTTAAACGAAAGACAATTCTTTTCACTTCATTGTTGGACTATTATTTTTTAATGATTTAATTGGGGTCCTTGTTTCATACCTTCATACAAATTCAATGTAGTGAGGAATTTAGAGTATTTTCAAAATTGAAACAACTAAACTCCACAGAAAACTGGAATGAAAAATTATAGGTAGGGGCGGAGTTGTCCCTTGGCCTACCTCCGTTTACTATAATATATATACTAAATTTATAAATTTTTACATGTATATATGAAAAATTTCATATAATGTCTCCCTAAAATTTTTATTTTCCAAAAGAATAATGATAGGGAGACCGATGAAATAACCCCGAATAAGTACCGAATCTGTCGTGTTTTTGTCCACCTCATCTATTTAAACAGTTTCCAAAAATAATTGTTTAATACAATAACCAACCACGTCAAATTCGATACTAATTTGGAATCCGTATCATTACTCTTTCTAAAATTATCTCTTAAATTTTGTATTTCTTCTCTTTTTTACTCTTTAAATCGTTTAATTTCCTTTAAAAAAAAAAATCAATTTTTCCTTTTTGAATCAAATTCCAAATTTTTTCCCTTTCAAATTCTCTCATTTTTCTTTCATTTTTAAATTTTTTTGTTAACTATTTATCTTTCTTAAATTACTCATTGATTGGCATATTATTTTAAGTAGTTTTTTTTTTTTTTGTCTCTTAATTTATAGAATCAATATTTATTGTAGTGATTATCGGATTTTTTTTTTTTT